TTGTGAAACCTAAAACATATTCCCCCCCGTATTCACACACTTACATGACTCAGTGTTGGTGTAAGCACACATTCCAGAGACCGACACACTCACACTCCCTAACACTGTAAGGACAAGACTTCCTGGTCATTAACCTACACTGTGACAGAGAATCAGTCTTATTCAAAGTATCACTGTTTATCTCCCCCCGGATGTTCCTGTCACTGGGTTTCAAAGGATTGTGGTCTTTTTGAAATATAATATGATATTTCCACTCACATTAACATCTTCATAATTCTCTGTTATGACCCAGTTTGTCGGGAACATCCTTTAGGCCTTTAGCTCTCTCCCCACTCCCTGCTGTATCTTTGCACTTCCTGCAACCTCTTTTTTTATTTCACTTTGATTTTTCCTTCTTTTTTTAGAGGTGCTTGAACTGATGTGAAAAGCAATTTGTGCATATATGTGTATGTGTATCTGTGCGTGCGTGCGTGCGTGCGTGTGTGTGTGCTGGGGGAGTAAAGCCATGATAAGGGACAGAGAGCTGGAGGGCTCAGACATAGATGGATGATGTTTTTCTCACCCTGAGCCTCCCTCCAAGATTACAGTTTTTCATTTTGTTCTTTACAGCCACCACAAAACTGTTCTTTTTTTAAACAATCTTTTTCTTATTATATCATGGAAAAAATACAAGTGGAATGTTTTGCTAATAAATTAAGAAATATTGTGTGTCAGAATTTGATCCATTTCTTCACATGAAATGTTATCCCCCATTTTCTTTGTATGTTTTGGTGAAGTAAGTAAGAGCGATGTCTGGCAGGGAGAATTTGAGATCAGCCTAATCATACAAAATAAAACTAGATAAAGGTTAAAGGGAACCCCTAAACTTTATAAACAAGTAGCTTGAGTCAGAGTTGTATGGAAAACTTTGATGACCTTTTACATTATGGCCAATAATTTAAGCTTTTTTTGTTTTAAGTTTCTGTTTTCTTTTTATCTATAATGCAGTTAAACCAAAAGTTAAATCAAAAGAAACTACAGTAACACAAGAGTTTTTGTGCTGTTTCTCTGAAAAGGATGAAGTCATTTTTATGCATTTTACAGTCGCAGTAATTCTCAAGCTCCTTATCAGGTTTAAGTAGTTGGGGAGAGCAGGGTGATTTGAACCTATGGGGAAGTTGAGTCACCCCTTGTTGCTAGATAACCTTGCACAAAGTTGATCATGTGATCACAAATTTTGAAAGAGTCATCTGTTTGACTCACCCTGTGATGGAGAAAAGCACATAAGTAAAAAAGACATATTTAGATTAAAAAAAAGGATTTTTATGCTTCAAAGTTAACTTTTAAAGCTCCTATAAGGAACTTTCAGGCTTTGTACTTTGGCACCACCTGTGGACAAAGCAGTCTTTGTTTATCTTGTTCTCTACATGCCAACATAGTGTCCTCTGACAAAAAAATAACATCCTGCCGACTTTAGACACTCAAAAGAATAATATGTAGTGAATCTTTCATCCTAAATTTGTAAAAAATAAAGAAATTTTTTTAAAAAGAGCTGTTTCTTTAGCTACTCAGCTGACACCTACCCCCTTGTTCGGAATTGAGGCATGAAAAATTCATGTACAAATTGTGATTCTTGTTGTTAACAGCTTTGCTTGCTTTTTTATATCATAAAAATGCATCAATATGAATTTCAGTTGATTTCACAGAAATGAAAAAACTCTACATGGGGGCTTCAATGTTTAAGAGGTCATAGGGTCACAGATAATACTAGCTGTCCCATAGTAGAAACATTTTCTTCCCAACCATTGTATGCACTTTAAAACATTTAACAAATGTCTTTATGTGCGTTTGTTTAAGGGGAGAGACCCAGAAATGATAATGACCGAGAGCGTCAGGTGTCCCCCTTGGTGGCCCTGTGAGCAACATCTGGATCCTGTCCCTTCATGGTGACATCACACACCCAGCCTAACCTCTGACCCCCAAACCGGCTAATTAGCAGCTTGTCCCTCCATAAGCGCCCGAGTCCCCCCTTTTTTCTTATTCCCGCTTCATCTTTCTCACTTGGCCCCCCTCTCCACCTGTTGTCTCATGTCACCGTGTGTGTGTGACCGAAGTTTTCGGAGGAAAAAACAGACTTAAAACTTTTCCAAAACAGTTGCCCAGCATGCATTTTTTCACTAATACTGTATGAGAAAAGAGGCTACAGGAACTTTGAGATATGTTTCTCTGTTATGAAGTGGCAGACATTTAGTTTTCTCAGATGAACTAATAATATTTTGATGATGTTACATCAGACTTTGTGTTTTATTGGTGCACAGGGAGAGGAAAGGGCCATGCTCTGTTTTATGAGCTATTTTGGTTCCTCTCCCTCTCTCTGCTGCATCTCAGAGGTGATCATCAATCTAACAGACTCTATTATTACTTTTCCACAAAGAGCTTTGATTTCCAGCCCACCCAGGAGATTAATCCGCCTCCTTCCTCTCCCTCCATCCCATCTACTCCTCTTTTTTTCATTATATTGTGCCATTTCTCTCTTTTCTTTGGAATACATGTGAAATTGTATTCTCCTCCATGAAACTTTTTATCATCCTTTCTCTTCAAACCGTCACTTATCTACATTGGGATCCACATAGGAGATTGAGACTGAATGCGCATCTCTGTAATATGTCTGTTCAAGTGGATTAAACAAAGTGATGGCGTCTGTTTAGAAGTACTGGCACCGGAAGCGAAGAGGTGAAAGGTCAGCTCTCAAGAGACACACCTCTTATCCTTGCACACGCTTCAGCTGTGCAGGCAAAGGCGGTGAGTTCACACTCGTATACTCCATCTTCATGCATCCTCAGACTTCATGCAAAGGGTTCACAGAAATTTAGTCAAAGGCAGCCTTATCAGTCACTCAGAGTCATTCATTATAGGAAACCCAGCTAGACACACATGGCTATTTTCAGTATCTTCTTGGTGCAGTTGAATGTTTCCGTCTCACTGCCAGAGAGCTCAGGGGACTTTGTTTGGACTTGGCCCTGGGTGGACCGCTGCATGGGGCATCAGTGTGGAATGATGTGGAAGGCCAAACAGGGGATTGTGGGTGCCGGGTATCCGTTACATCAGAGGGGACCAAGGCGCCAGTTTGCCATTTGAGACATGACACCCCCTTGTCCTTACTCTTTATCCTGTTAAATGGTAGGATGTGCTGAAAGTTAGGCCGGCCCTGTAAGTGTAATTAGATAGCACTAAATATTTCGATATCTGGCAAAAAATTCTGCAATTATTGTCCAAGTGTCAAATGTTTTGATGTATTTTACACATAACGCCTTTTTGTCAATACCCTGCTGTGTTAAATACTTTACTGTCAAAGCTCCATAACAATGGTTATGGATTCTCAAGAACAACTTCATCACAAGCATCATATGATTAAGGACAGAGATGCAAACTTGAACTTTACGTGTTTTTAGTTTTCTTCAATAAAATTATGTAGTCTAATGTAAACAACAAATAATTAGCAGGCTTATATTTTAACTTGATCCTGCTTGGCAAAAAAAAGGCCTTTTGTTTAATTTGTTTAGGACACAGACACAGTAGGGGAGAGTGGGGTAAGTTGAGGGGTAAGTTGAGCCACCCCGTGTTGCTTGGAAATGTTAAAAGAAATTGATCATGTGACCAAATATTTAGGAGATGGGCATCAATTCATGGAGTCTGTGAAGGTTAGAAGCACATGTGTGAAGGGGTTAGACAGTTATTTACAAAAAAACATTTTTCACTCTTGAAAGTGAATTTAGTCTGTCTGAAGTTTTATTAGAATTGTGTTCAAACCAAAAAATATCAATTGTTTTTATATATCAATTGTGGTATCTATGAGCTACAACATGAGGTCAAAAACCTAGCATAAAAGTCCACCATTTTAGCTTAGAGGACTAATAAAGTCATAATAGTAGTTCTGGGGTAAGTTGAGTCAGTGGCTCAAGTGAGAAAGTAAAGAAGTCTGATGAGAGGATCAGAGTTTCAGTTCAGATTGTTGAAATGTGTTACTTTTTCTTTTCAAAAATACAGCTGTGGATGTTCTGAATCACTTAAAGGCATTCTCATGTTAAAATGACTTTTTACAAAACAGCTTTTTAGCAGTTATATGCAATAATAATAACAAGAATTATTGTACCAGTTGAATAGCGTATAATAGATTAAAATACACATGAATGTGAAGAAGTGACTGTTATTTAGGAAGACAGAAGGTGAGGGAGGGCTGTGGTGGAGAGTGGGGGGGTAGTAGGGATACCGCTCAACCTAACCCACTCCTATGGTCAACTTACCCCATACACAGGGTAAGTTGACCATAGGAGACAATTTCTTTGACATGCTATATTATCAGGACAGTTATGTTTACACTCATTCTGTTGGTTTGCAGGGATGCACAACATCCTGAAATATATGTAGATACACTAGTTAGAGACAAAACTTTGATTGCTTTGATGTAGTGATCCGAAGTATGAAAAATGGCTCATCTTACCCCACTCTCCCCTATTTGTTGTTTTAATGGCACCCTCACAGAAGAGTGCACCAGCCACCCCTGGTTGAACTACTATAGTCATTCAAACAGAATCCAGAATATATGCATTTCTAAATCAAAAAATCTTGATATCAGTGCACTTTTTTATGACTTTTGTTGACCGGTTATAAACAGGGTGATGTATATGCTGAGGAGTTATTACTTCTGCAGGGTGAGTTCTGATTGGCAAAACCTACAACGATAAAAGAAGAGGAAGAAGCATTGGTGAGTCTACCTGAGTCCAGAAAATGTCCTCATAATTCTATTTATAATCCTTCTTTCCCCCTCGTGTGCATCAAAAGAAAATAATAATGTGGGTAAAATTGCTACAACTATATTGCTGTATGATGAGAACTCATCCATGCTGGAATTCTTAAAATTGGGAACCAGCATGTTGAAGCAGCACCAGTGTCTCCTCCCAGCATGAGGTTACGCCTCTCTCTCCATGGAGATAAAACCTCCGCTCCTTTCACGCATAGTTAGCAGCTCATGAACACATCTCTTGGGCGCGTGTCTCTTCGCCCCTGTCTGTCCAGCAGTAACCGCCTCGCTCTCATGTTTTGAGTCCGGTCCGAGCGGAGACAGTCCAACATGTCCACCGGGTCTCTCAGCGATGTCGACGATGAGCTCCTGGACGGCATCCTGAAGTTCGGCTCCTCGGGGAAAGAGTCAAACGAGAGCACGGAGGAGAGCTCCAACTGCGAGGGCACGTGCGCCAGCGACGCACCAGGCAAGAAGAGGAAGACAGCGTCCCGGAAAAGTGCATCTAAGGGTGTGGCGCTGCAGGAGGGCAAGCACGTGCAGAGGAACGCGGCTAACGCTCGGGAGAGAGCCAGGATGCGCGTGCTGTCCAAAGCGTTCTCCCGGCTGAAGACGTCCCTGCCCTGGGTACCGCCGGACACCAAGCTTTCCAAACTGGACACGCTGCGCCTCGCGTCCAGCTACATCGCTCATCTCCGGCAGATACTGGCCAACGACAAATATGAGAACGGATTTATCCACCCCGTGAACCTGGTGAGACTCAGCCTGACAGGGCATCAAAGTGTCTGATTTTATAGCCTGTTTAAAAAGTTCGAGGAGTTGCAACCAAGGCCTCAATTCTCCACATTTCAGGCTGAATTAAAAAACCCAAACCGTTCGAAAAACAAAAAAATGTTGTGCTTTTATATACTTGAAAATTGTTATATCCATTTACATCTAAAAAGAGAGGGAAAATGTTTTAATTTTAATGAAATTTATTATGGTTGAAGACACTTGCAAGGCCTCTTATCCGAACAAAAAAGGATAATTCTGTGGAGCAGGTGCACGACAGGAAGGATAAATAATATAATGTTGATTTATTTGGGCCAACAATCAAACTTTGACTTAATATCGTTCTTTGTGAAGCAGTTAAGCAGACCAGAAGACCAGAGGCAGAGTTGACCTTATTCAGTCTTTTTTAGGGAAAAATAGGATACGAATGGATGCAAATAGGCCTGACTCAGTTAAATAACCAGTTTGGCTCAATACAAGAAAATAATTTTGTTAATATGTCATGTTTACTCCCATCAGTTCTGTCGAGATGAGAAACACATTGTTTTTTTTTTTGGTAGAATAAATTAGGTCAGGGAAAACATGTTTAATTCAATGCATAAAGATCTGAGTGCTCTTTAAGATTACCTGATCAGTGCGTGATTAATTAACACAGCAGATATTATACGCTTCTTTATTTTAGTTATTCTTAATTGTACTGTTGAGAAATACCATAAGAAGTATTTGTTCCAATAAAATGTCTTTTTCTCCGCAGACATGGCCTTTCATGGTCGCAGGCAAGCCGGAGACCGATTTGAAGGAGATGCTCAACACAACAAGACTTTGTGGCACAACAGCGTCGTGACGAAACCACGCACATACCTCGTTATTTTTTTAATCAATTTTTGGAAATGGGAAAATAACCTCCATATGGACTGAACTGCACGTCTCATCTCCGGGGACTTCGAGTGGGAATAATGGAGAGATTTGTTTCTCTTCTTCTTTCCTGTAAAGACATTTTTATTTAAATGCTTCCTATCACCAAATGTCGTCTTTGCTGGTTCAAAGATATATTGCGTGCTCTTATAACTACCTTTTTATAAAAAAATATTCTGTAAATGCATTTTTTTTACCCATGCAGAATTTTTCTCTGGCTGTTGAATTAAAATGAATGTCTATGTTGTACAGATTAGGTTCCGCGTATATGAAATATATTTGTATCAGTTTCACCCTTGTGTTTGAGGTATTTTTTTTATGTTATTTGAATTTAGTCTTTTTTTTCTGTGTGTGGCCCATGCTTTGACCTGTTCACCTCCTGTTATCACTGCACTCCTTCAGAAAAGCAGAACCTGAGCACCAACGAAGCGTCCGAGCAGATAAGTGTCTCTCTGTTGTTTCTGGAAGATAACGATGGACGTGGTTGTCATTACATAAACAAACATCTGCTGTCAAATATTTTATTGAAGACTCTCAAACCCCGTATTCGCTTTTAGTTTAAACCGATTAAAATAGATTAATAAAAAATAAACGATCACGCGCACAGGAGAACTCTAATTGGATAGACTTTCACAAATATAGCCAATCAGATTTGAGCAGCGGAGCGTGTTGCTCGGTCAGAGTTTAGTTCAAACCTTTCTGAAAGGTTGTAGAAAACCTGCCCGCGGAGCTCTGATCCCGCCCAAAGCTGTTGTTTTAATTCTCTCGGGTTATGACCGCTGTGTTTACATTGAGGAGACAGTTATTTATGCGCACTGACACACCGTCTCCCTCTCTTCTCTCTTTTTCCTCTCTCAATGAGGTTTATTGGGCTGAGTGTAAAAAAAGGGTGATGCTACTCAAGTGTTTCCACATTAATGTCATCTTTTTATTCACCCTCTTCTTAGCTTTGTCTCTTTTATCACTTATATCTGACACCTTAAAAACAATGTCCACATTTTCTAGTTAAATAAGAGGAAAACAGCATCTCCAAAAGTTGCATAGGCTACCTGCTCCGTCAAAAATGGGCTACACTTATTCATGTTGTTTCCATAAAAGGGAAATTGCATTGGTTTGTATGTTTAGCCACTAACAAGGGCTTCATTTTATTACTAATAATGCTGGGAAAGTCGTGTTTTTGCCACTCCCACTCCTCGAATTTAACAAGCAGTGAAAAGCAGGAGCATATCCAGACTTGTTCTAGGGTGGCCTGATTGGGGTACTGGCTCAAGCTGGGGTGACATTCAGGGTGTGTTTGTACCCTGAACTGTAGCCCATAAAACATATGGAGGTAGCTTTAATGGTAAAGCACTTCTAAAGCCGAGCTATGAAGCCTTTTGAAATGCAGACTCAACCTGCTAAGTTTAGGACGTTTTTGGCGGCCTTACTAACAGTTACAATATGCCTTCCTCGGTCATGTAAGGCATGTTCCTTATGCAAAACTCGTACAATATGAACATCAAAAGTATTAAGATAATGCTTATACACTGTGCTGTGGTTCCCTGTGCATCTGCATCTGTGACTTTGAGTTGTTGCTGCTGTCTTGGCCAGGTCCCTTGAAAAAGAGTTTTTTTTACTCTTAAGTGGACTAATCTGATTAAATAAAAAATTAAAACATTAGACATATAAAAAACAATACATTGAAAAAAAAGCATACATTGTGTGTGAATGAGGAAATGAGCTACTGTGAATAAAATTAGTGTTTTATGTTTATCTACGTTAAAGCCAGACTCAAGGAGACACTCAAAAACACTAGTTTTAAGCACTTTTGCATTACATTTATTTCTAATGAGACCTTTACTGACATTCAAATATCACAGAGATTTTATAATGGTGTTTAACTTAAAACAAGTAGTATAACAGAGGGTCAGGACTTAAACCTCTGAAGCTGATTTCAATAGGGATTCATAAAGAAGATTTTTAAAAAAATCTTTAATTCAAGTACTTAAAAAGTGCAAACACTGTGAAATGCCACAAACAAATTTAACAGCAATATTACCTAAATCTTGGTGAAACTTTTGATGGACTGGGCTGTTACCTGTCTTATCAAGTAGATTTGCAAGCCAGCCAACCAATTATGATCCAGGACTTTGTAGTGACACCAAGGCTTGTCAAACATATTTTAATGAGGGCTACTTGGTATCCTACATGGTGTATAGACCCCTGTATAAAAGCTCAACCTAACCCAGAAAAAAAGAGTTTTCAGGAGCAAACTTTTCATGAAGCCTTGAATTATGATACATTAGTTAAACTTCCAGTAGGGGACATCAGTTTGACAGGAATCATTGACAAAGGGTGGTCTAGTTTATCAGAAATGTGGCTGGTACATTTCTGATGAGCATGTATTTCATTCACAAGAAGGTTATCTCAGTTGCTATGGAGATACACATGGAGGCTAATATAATTATACAGTATTTTACTGTATTTGTCATTAGCACCACCTTTGCAGACCAGCAGGACAGATACCGCTGACTGTTACCTCACTTACTGATTCACTCCACTTCACCAATGTAAATGGAAAGTACCAATATCAACAATAAGATTGAGTGCCTCTATAATAAAAGAGTCTCACCAACATCTCTTCAAGGACCCTCACCTAATTCATCAGCAGCGGTGAGGCAGGGGCCTCGCCGCCACCTCAAAGGGACCACCATGGAGAAAATAAACTTGGCCGCCTTTTTCCTGGGGCCAGCTGCACCGAGCGAATGAGGAGGAGAGAGATATAGAGGAGGAAGGGAGGGGTCTGCATGAGAGCAGGACTGGGATTCCCATACTGGCTAATTGTTTTCTTGGACGCTTGCCCAAACTGTGATGTGAAAAAGGTCCACGGACTGAAGGGAGGAAAGAAATCACATCGTGTTCCAGCTGATCCCGTCATGTTTCTGTCTGCCCACATGGTTCCCTCAGAACCACATCACTGCTTTTTGGCAGGCCTGTTTGTAGGGGGAGTGCCTAAAATGTAGTATAATGGTGTGAAGCCTGTAATAAACTATTTACTCTGTGTTTACATTCCAACTTCTCTCTCTAGCCAGCAAATAATAAAGAAACATGATTTTTTTTCACTAAGCCAGAGGTTAGGAAATCACTCTAAACAAAACATCAAGCTAGCACACTACAGAAAACAACCCATCACCTTTTATGTTATATCACAGCATACATCTCATTTTATTACAGACTAAAACCTCCCTGAAGACTCGCAATGTGTTGACACTAACACTGCCCTCTTCTGGACAAAGATATGATTATCATCTCCAGCTGTCAGCAGTGTTATACACACAATTCATACATTCAATTTCATTTGTGAAGATTTTTGATGCATAACGAACATGAACATTTTCACACTGGACAGTAGATTAACGGCAAATCTTTATAGAGTGATCACAGTTATTGTACTCATTATAAATAAATCATGACTTATATAAAAGACGACACAACATAGCTCCTGAGAGCTCTTAGCTTTTTGATTTATTGATGAAGTAGTTGCATTGCCATGTTGCCCATAATGCACTCCCTTTTGTTTGACTTCTCTACATATTTAGCTCCCATATGTAATTCATTGCTGTCCACTGTGTTTTTTTTTTTTACATTGTTTATTCATGTATAGGCTGTTCTGCACATATTGCCCTAGAGGGATTAATAAAGTTGTTTGAATTGAATTGAATACATGTACACTGAAAACAGGGGACACCACCCTGGGGGGCAGTGAAAAGGCTCAACTATGAATGTAAACAACATTGATCAAGATCTTGACCTGTTGGCATTATAGATTTAGTGCAATAAGGTTTTCAATATCTCTGATGGTTGAATACTCTCAAGACCATATTTTTGTTTTGTTCATGTTTGATTTGATCAAAAATCTTTATTCACAAAGTCAGCCTGAAGCTGCTGAGAGCCAATGAAAGAGAAAACAGCAGTGTAGTGATAAATGGTAGTAAAGTCAATAATGCCAATAATTAGTGGTGAAAAGTTGTTTTCTAATTGTTTTACAGCACCCACACTTAAAGGGATATTCCGGCGTAAATTTAAGTTTGGGTCGATCACACTGTAACACCGAGTTAGACACCCCCTTGAGAGATGAATGTTGCCGACTGCTTGCTTCTCTTGCTACACAGCGGTCTACATCTCCACGCGCAAACCTCAACCAAAAAGCCACTCTATAGCCACAAATAATGCTCAGAACAGCACCTAACTTCATCAACAGTATATATAGGGTCCCAGCCATTGTACTAGCCAACAAACATCTTTTTAGCTTTGCCTGGTTTCTTTAGCAAAGAGACTTAACACAACTCACCCACACTTCTCCAGCAGCTGCTTGTTTGTGGGGGAGCCCGGACAAGTCAATCGCAGAGTGCAGTGGAGTTTCACAGCTCAAGGAAGAACATTTATGATTATTACCTCATGGAAATGATCTGCTGCACTTATTTCTCATAGCTGTCACACATTCACAATAGTGCAGTGCAGATTGTTTAGTGCTGAAATACTGTCCAATAGACACACCTGCCATTCTGAGGCTGTGACTGACAACATAGTCTACAAGTGTAACCCTAATTTCAACATGAAATCTGCCAGCGTACCTGGCCTCTTCTTCTTCTTCCCTTAATTTGTTTCTTTCCCCTTCCTCACCCCTCTTTCACCTCGCTGACTTTCCATTTCTGTGTCACAGTATTGTAGAAATGTTACATACTATGTCCTGCTTTGTTCATATATGCTAGCTAAGTGAGGCTTCATGGGATTCAGCTCTGAGTGACTTTGGAGAAGTGGCTAATCAGTGGTTGCAACAAATGCTTCACACAATCCTCCTCATCAGTAAAGCTGAGGTTCACCTGAGAGAAATCGTTCACTTTAGATAGATAGATAGATAGATAGATAGATAGATAGATAGATAGACTTTATTGATCCCAAACTGGGAAATTCTCATGTTACAGCAGCAAAAAAAAATCAAAATAAAATTAAATATAACAAGAAGTATATACAATGCAGACTAAAAATACTAAAAATACTAAATATATACAATAAATACAGGCTAAATATACTAAACATCCTAAGAGAAAAGAGTGAGATATGAAGAACGTGGGCTTAAAATGAGTAATAAATATGAAATACGAAATATAAAGATGGGATGATAAATAGACAGACAGTTGAAGGTGCTCAGTAATGTGATGTGGTTGAAGTTTTAAAAATGGACTATACAGCAGACAGATGTGAGTCCCTGTCTGACAGATTTGAGTTATTAAATAATGCAACAGCTTGTGGCAGGCAAGATTTCCTGTATCTGTCCCTTTGACAGCAGAGCTGCAACAGTCTGTTGGAAAAGGAGCTCCGCTGTCTGTCCAGAGTGAGGTGGAGAGGGTGGTCAGGGTTATCCATGATGGATAACAGTTTGGTCAGTGTCCTCCTCTCCACCACAGCCTCCACATTTTCACAGGAGACATTTTCAGGAAAAAATTTCACAGACATGTTTACAATTTCATTGACAGATTTTAAACTAGTTCAACATTTTTATATGTAATGACTCAAGCAATGAAAGGAGGACTATTAGTTTCATAGGGAATGACTATTCAGCATTTAAAAGCATAACTCATTTTGACTGACATGACATAAGCAAATGATAGTGTTATACAACAGCAGAGAACTGTATGTAAGTAATTGATGCATTTCCAAAGGCATCTGCAATTTGATGAAAGGATTGAGAACTATGATGTGCACTAAATACTAAATGTTGTAGAGGCTGAACAAACTGTTGTGCAAATGTTCAAAGTGATGTGAGAAATGCACCAAAGCGACGGAGAAAAACTGTAATACAGGAAAAATGCTCATTTTTCTTACTTCATCTTAAGTCTTAGGACGTCTTAAAGGTAAAAACTCGGCCTGATGTTTTCACCAGAAGATGGCAGCCTTGTCGTGCAGAGAAAACCAAATAACCTCTCAGATATTTAGACACCAGCTGTCAGTACCTATTTGACCCAGCAGATGGCAGCAAATTATGCCTGATACTGAAGACTTATGACTGCAAAGAAAGCTTACAGACACTGGAAGTTAATTTACATCTTATAAAAAAAGTTACACCACACAAACTGGATAAAGTAGCTAATTGTGTGCTAGAAAATGTTCGTATCTGGTCACATGGCTGAGGTCAGAAAACAGCAGGTGTTGGTGTCAGTTTGTGTCAGGGAGCATGGCAGCCTGGCACAGAAGTCAACACAGCACAGGAGATGCCAAAGATAGCTGAGGCCTGCCCAGATCATCTACCCATGTTTACTGGCATGTTGGCATCCGCGTGCACGCGCGCGTGTGTGTGTGTGTGTGTGTGTGTGTTTGCGCGAGAGAGAAGGGAGGGGGTGGGGAGAGAGAGTGTGATTGTTGGCACCAGTCAGTGATTATTAAAAGGAGCACAGGTGTCTGACATGTGACCTTTGGCCTTTACGTCACCGCTGAAGCCATGTTAGCAGTTAACCATCTTCATCTCCTGTACTCCTCTTCTCTCAGCAAATGATCTCTTAACCAAAACTTTGTTTTAAAGGAAAGTTCTTCCTTTTATGAAGACTTTGAATACTGACAAAAACATTCGTGCTTTTTTAACATGTTTTTAAAAGTCTTAAAGTGAGCAAACATGACTCTTTCTACCTTCTCCTTGTTCTGAATAATAAATCA